AGGCGGGTTTTAAGCCTCTTGACAACCGTTATACCAACCTGTCATCATGTCAGAATCATATATCAGAATTATAATGTTAAATATGGGTTGAAAACTGTCTTTATGTCTGTGGTTTTGAAATCAGTTCAGTTTTGATAATCGTCTAGATTGAAGCCAAAGATTTTTTTTAAATACGTTTATTAGTTGGTGGAGACCAAATATGAGCTGAAACTGGCGGTTAATACTGACTTATTTATTTGATTATTATATATCCAAGATCAGGAATATCCTGTCACAAAATAATGCAGAAAACTAGTTCATGCATTTGTTACCTCCAGACTGGATTATTGTAATTCTCTTTTGTCAGGGTGCTCTGGTGGATCTCTAAAGACTCTTCAACTAGTCCAGAACGCTGCAGCTCGTGTACTGACCAGAACCAGGAAAAGGGACCAATCACTCCTGTCCTGGCTTCTCTGCACTGGCTCCTTATACAGTCTAGAATAGAATTCAAGATCCTTCTTCTCACCTACAAAGCTCTAAATGGCCAGGCACCATCTTATCTTAAGGAGCTACTAGTGCCGTACTGTCCCTCGAGAACATTACGGTCCCAGAATGCAGGTCTGCTAGTGGTGCCTACAGTCTCTAAGTGTACTATGGGAGGTAAAGCCTTCAGTTATCAGGCTCCTCTCCTCTGGAATCGTCTTCCAGCCGGGGTCCGGGAGCAGACACAGTCTGTATTTTTAAGAATAGACTTATAACTTTCCCACCGGATTGTTGATGGATGGTCTGCCCCCCACCCACCACCCCCACCCTTGCTCCTATCCCTCTTCCTGCATCTTATCCCATCTCTCCCTCTATCCCTTTCCAAGCCCAGCGCAGTCTAGACCTGTGAAGGCTGTTTCGTCGTGAGCCGGGGATCCGGCCGAAGATTTCTGCCTTTTAATAAGACAGTTTTTTCTTACCACTGTAACTTTTGCTGCTTTTCTAAAGTGCTCATGATGGATAGACCGGATCTTTAACGATCTGTAACATAACAATGAGTAAGGTCTTTTACCTGCTTCTTGTAACATAACAATGAGTAAGGTCTTTTACCTGCTTTTTGTAACATAGCAATAAGTAAGGTCTTTTACCTGCTTTTTGTAAAGTGTCTCGAGATAACACTTGTTATGAGTTCACGCTATACAAATAAAAATTGATTAATTGATTATGACTTTCTGTCTGTGCATGTCCTTTCTGGTGTTGTGTTTAAAATATTTTTAAAACCAGGTTTACGTTGGCGTGCCGGCTTCCTGTCCGACCACTCCTGGACCTCCACGTTGTCCCCGGGCCTCCGATGATGTACTGGTCCTCGAAGGTGGAGTTGGCTGGGATGTCGAAGGGATCCCAGGCCTCGGTCAGAGCGATCTTTGAGCAGTCCTTCGTCTTCTGGTCGATCTGGAACATCACCAGGCTCTGGTACAAAAAGATGTACTCGAAGAACCTGGAGCCGAGGAAGAGAAACATGAAGGAGTGACATCTTTGAATGTCTTCTTCTGGCCAAAACAAACAGAACAAAACCTAAAAAGTATTTAATTTATAATCATACATGAAAATCAGGAATTCCTCGCATTTCAGAAGCTGAAATCTGAAACATCTGGAATGTTTTATAATTAATTAAAATGTATGGCTTCATTTCTTTCAACTAATTGATTGATGGGCTTATGTTGCAGCTCTAAATCATACCTTCTTGTTCCCATGTAGAGAGCTTTAACCAGGCCTGCCTTTTCTTTATTAGCTATTTTTAAACAAATTACAACGTTAAAATCAGAATTATGACCAAACATCTTGATCTTATTAACGGCTTATAACAGATCAGTCGAGCTCTAGTCAATGTGTATTTTTTAATTAAATATTCCTCAAAAACTTCGTGTAAAATGTGGTTTATTTAGGATACGTCACAATATTCAAATAAAGATAAATGTTAAAGAATATGTAGAAATGTAAATGGTTATAACAGGTTAGGCTGTAAAATGATGTCATGGAGGATCTTACTTCTGACACGGGGTGTGTTTCTTGTTCTGCTGCAGGACTCGGAGCCTCTGGTTCAGGCCGTCGTAAGAGACCGCGGCCCGGCTGTTCCTCCCGGTGCTGTGGTCGTACTGCACCCACCTGCCCTCCCACTGCAGCGGGGCAGAGCAGGGCCCGCTGCCGGGGCATCCAGCCTGCGGAGGCCGAGAACAGAGGCGCCTGCTGCGGCCAGGAACACGAACAAGAGCCGGTGCATTGTGTCAGAGAGCACCGGGAATGATGTCAGCTTATCCGTTGTTATTGTTGTTGAGTGCGCTGCACCTGATGCCGACAAGCCTGATGCAGGTTTATACAGAATGATTTCCTGTTTTGCTATCAAAATAAAAGCACACATGCAACCAATATTAAATAAATATTTTTTTTTTATTATGCGTTTATGAGTGAAATGCGTGTAGGATCTGTTTTTAAATGTTTTTTTTTTTAATTTGCTTTGCACATTTTCAACTATTTTATTTCACATTGTCTGTTTAAAAAACCGATTGACTGATATTCCCTTTATTTTATTTTAAAATAGTATAATGATAAATACGTAAAACAGTGTTTAAAAAAACAAAAAAACACGGTGTTGATGTCTATGTTCAAACGAGCTCCTAAATTAATATGTTTTTTTATATAATTTAATATTGAATTGTAATTTTAGTTTCGAGTTTCCGCTCCGTCACTAGGGGGCAGATTTAACGGTTGCTAGGTTGTCACGGTGTGGCGCAGACTGATGACGTAAGCCCTTCCTCCGAGCCAACATGGCGAAGAAGCAACGTGGGGGAACAACCTCGTCTTCAAAGACGCAGAAAATGGTTGAACCGACAGATAATTTCAGTTTAATGCTTACATCCAGTGACGATGAAGAGCCCGAAGAGGTGACCTTTGAGGACGCGAAGACCGAGGCTTTACGGAGCATGAAACTGGCGCTGGACGGAGCCAGAAGGTACAAGGCCGCCAAACCCCATTTAAAATAAAACAAATTAACTGGTTAACCTGCTAAAAAGCGGAATAATTTCCACACAGTGAGGTTTCTGTGATATATCCCGATTCCTTTGGGGGGACTTTTAACATCGGCACAAACAACACCGGGCAGCTCAGTATTTAATTTGAACAATTTGCGTTCTTGATAGCGCCAGCACTAAACTGGAATCCAGGTTCGACACGATAGAAAATCTACCTTTTCTTTGTTATTACACAGTTTTTTTTTAATGTTTATGAATGCCGATAATTAAAGTGTAACCTAAGTGATGACGAATTTATGAATTCATGAAATTATGAGGGATGTAAATTAACGTGAAGCAACAAACGCTTAAGTTGACTGTTTTCTGAATGGAGTTTGGTGTGAGTTGTCTTCACCCGATCAGTTTCTCATAAACCAGGACTGCAGGGAAACTCTGACCATTACTCCAGGATTACATTTCAAACATAACAACTGCATTTGATATTTGATATTATGATATTTATAATGTGAATTTAAACAACAAACCCGATTGTGTGTCTGCAGGGAGAAGGAGCTGCTGAAAGAGAGGAGACGAAAGAGACAGGAACTGTTCCAGGAGCAGAAGGTACACAACTCCGGACAGGACTCCGGACAGGGGCCGCATGACGTCACTAGGCTATCTGGCGATTCATTGTTTTATATAGTTTTGTCCCTTTAGGGGCACCGTAGGTGAGGGACCGCAGTGTCTCCCTGTTGTCACAGTGATGGATAAGAATCAAAGTCAACTTTATTGTCAATTTCAAAATATGCCAGACATACAGTGGAATCGAAATTTCATTTGTCTCCGTCCAACGGTGCAAAACAACCAAGATAAGATAAAATAAGATAAGGTAAAATAGATAAAATAAAATGAGGTAAAAATAAGAAATAATATTTACAGTAATAAATTCTAAATTGTGCAAAAGGTACAAAATGGTAAAGAAAATGAAATTTAAAGAAAAAGTGAACTTGTGCAGTAAACTGAGTGTACTTTTGAATAGTTAGCTTCAGAGTTATTAGTGCAGAGTTCTTGGTGGCAAACGGGAGGGGGTTTCAACGTCCAGTGTTCGTGGGGGCAGAGGGGAGGGAAGGAAGAGAGTTAATGATGATCTGAATGTCACAGCTCAGCTGACATGTCAAAGTGATATCCACCTCATGACTTCAAATATTTACCTTTGTCAGCGTTCCTTTGAGCTGTTCTCATTTACTTTTCCATCCGTAACGATTTCCCTTTTTCCGCGTTGTAACCTTCAATCTACCAGAAGTTCATTATTTCCTTTCAAAATAAAAGCAGGGTTGTATCCAAACTTGAAGTCAAGTCCTCTCAGGTTAAAACGGGACAAAAACAAAACAACTTTTTTAAAATGCAAAACAATGACATTTAAAGGCGATTAATCACGGTCCCCTATTAAAAAAATAAAATGTATTTTTTTATTTATTTATTGAAGCTGCTCTCACTCTGCCGTTTCTCACAGAAAAGAAAACTTTTACCGGCCGACGTGTTGGAGGAAATCGACTCGGCTCCTTCAAAGTAAGACTGCTTGCAGGAGCCATAAAGTGTATTTTTTGGGTTTACCTTATTTTTATCTGTACATTGGTGTGGCAGGCAGGAGGCTAAACAAATGATTCTGTGTGACTGTCTGTATTTTCTCTGTTCAGTTGTTTATTGTGAAGCGCTTTGTGACGTCTGTTCTTGAAAGGTTCTTTATAGATAAACTTTACTTACAAAGAGGGTGAGTGGGTTTGAATATTTTCTGTTGACCGTCATCATCGTAATTATCATCATCTTTTGGACTTTTTGTCACTTTGTTTAATAAATCAACAAACTTATCTGGACTTTATTTTGATAAGAACGAGTCACAAGTCTCTGTGCGGCGTTCTCCAATCTAAGCCGCCACAACACTGAGTCTGTTTCTCCTCCATCTCTGCTCAGCGAACACTCAAACCTGTGTCGTTTTCTGTTTTTTTTGCAGGAAGCAGAAAGAGTCTGAGGATGAAGGTGAAGGTGAGGGAAACTCACATTTGTAACATTCAGCTGGTGGAAAGTCGTACAGTGAGCTTCAGTGTGACGTTATGTTTTACTCCCAACGTCCTCCAGCTGAAGAAGATCAGGAGGGAGAGGAGGAGAGCAAGAAGAAGAACAGTAAGAAGATGGCACATTCCCGAAGGTATGTCAGTATTACGCATTTCTTAAATTGTGAGGCTTTTATTTTGTACCGTCTTCAGCTGAGAGTTCGTATTTACACATGAACTTAAACACAGAAAGTCGGACGTTGTGGTTCAAACGGTTAAAATATGAACTGTCCTTGTGTGTGTTTGTCAGTCTGAAGGGGAACTACACGGTGACGACGGTGAGGGAGCGGGCGTCGGCGTCCTGCCAGCAGCAGACGGCTGAAGACTTCCTCCGCTCCAGACTGTACGGACCAGGAAGCTGCAGGACCACGAGTAAGGACTCTGAAGTCCATGTCAACACTGTCTATATAATCACTCTGAATTCTGTCAGTCCCGGTTTGTTTTTGGGCGTTCCACAAGGTTTCAATCAGAAAAGACAAAAACACATTCCACCTTCGTCTTTACTGCGCGTCTGTGTTTATTTATCGTGTCGGGATTTTGTTTTGCACGCTACACTCTGTGGCAGAAGTCTGCAAAGACGATGATCTGTCTCAATTTGAGCGTTGCTATAGAAACGTCTGTCCGGTCAGCTGAAGTGTCCGCTCCTCCTGGGACTCTTCCTGCTGAGACGACGGCGACATATTCTCTCATGACTCAGTTATTTTCAGAGGAATTACTTAAATAGCATATTCAGCCTTTAAATTATACTCGGATACATTAGCTGGTCTGTAAACATATTCTCATCATCATGTTTTGATTGAGAGCCCCCTGGTGGCGGAGTTTACACACTGTGCGCTTAATGGGAATTCAACTACCACACACACCTCTCCGCTCTTCACACACACACCAGCCTGCCCCGCCTCTTCACAGCTCATCTTCAAACTGAACTCAAGGTTTCATTCTTTTTAACCCACGATCAGTTTTACAGCTGCTGAGGTCTGTGAAATGATTTTTTATAGAACCTTGATTTTCTCTTATTTTATTGTTTTTCTCTGATCCTCCAGCCTGTAAAGAAAAAGCCAAAGCAGAGAAGATGAAGAAGCGGTGGATCCACAAGCAGCAGGTTTCCTCCTGCTGACCCGACGTCTCCCACAAACTTAAGTTCAGCGGACTTTCACTTCGCAGACTTTAATCCTCGCGCTGCACGAGTCAGACAGAGAAAAAGATCCTTTAAAACACGTCAACATGACTGAATGTGGAAGACGTTCTAATTCCTCTGTTTGTGGATTTTCTCAGAGCCTGAACTGTAAAGAAACGGTACTTTAGCGTTTCTTTGACGGGTAATAGATCCTTTAAATGGAAGCGCCGTGGGACCCACGTCTCTTTGACAAACGCTCTCACTAAAAGCTCCACTGATTTATTTTCTTTTTTTTTTTTAAAGAGTATATTGATGAACTTTAATGTTTGTATCTTTGAGAAATAAAAACACAACACTGCTCAAAGGTTTTCTGCTGTGAGAGCGATTATTCAACTTTTTAAATGTGGTGATTTTGTTCATCATGCTGACTGAAGATGGATGCTTTGTTCATTTACATGAGAATTAACGAGTAGCAACAGTAAAGTTTCTATTAACAGCCCCGGTGTATTTTCAGCAGTGTAGCTCATGTTGTTTTGTCCCTTCAGGCTCTCCGTAGATAGTCGTCCTCAGTGTCTCCCTGTAGTCTCAGTGATGTAAAAGAAGGACACTGCTGCATCTTTGAATGTCTCATTTCACTTCAAACTCTCAGGCAGCTCAGCTGACGAGTCCAAAGTCATGTCCACGTTATGACATCACACACTGACCTTTGTTACCGTTCCTTTGAGATGTTTGACCTCACTTTAAAATCCCTAACCACTTCCTGTTTCTGTGCTGAACTTCCTGTCCTAACCTTCACTGTCCCCACTACCAGAGGGGCCTTACTTTATTTCAAAATAAAAGCACGGTTGAAGTCAAACAGCAAGTAAAGAATGCTCAGCTTGAGACAGTACACTTTCAAAATAAAAGCCTCACCACTTTTATATTTAAATGTGAATTAATTGAATTTCAAACATGTGATTAACTGTTGAAATATGGCTATACAAATTATAATCGTTCCACACAACTAATTAATAATTTTTCAGATTCGGGTCTCGTGCCCGCCATTGTCGTCATTAAGACTAACGTGACTCTGTTGAGAATCTTTGACTCGTTATTAAAACAGATTTGAGATTTCACTGAAAACGCCCCAAATATGAACGTCATGTTTCTGTGTTCATGCTGGTCGCTCCTCTCGTCCGTCTTAGGACAGTCCAACGCAACTTTCCACTCTTGAAAAGCTTGAGCTGCAATGCATGATGGGATATATTGCTTGGACTGTGGCTAAATCTCAATTTCTTCCAGTTGTGAAAAAAAATTAACTTTTTCAAGGATTCTCTCAGATCAACAACAACTGAGGTGACCTGTGTGTGACCTCATGAACGCATCGATTAAACAGGACAGAGATGGTCGGAGGTGGGCGGCGTGACATGCAGCACCCACACAATCACTTTGTCATTTATCATTTTTAATATAAATCTTTTCACCCTCACACAAATTGCACTTTTTTTTTTCTCCAAATGGACACACAGTCAGCAGTGGACAACTTACTGGTTGACAATCTTTCCTTATACACCGTGAACTGGCTATGAAAGAAGGAGAAACAAAAAGAATCAAATAAGAGAGACATCTAAACTTTGAGCTTACCACCACTGTACTATGGCATGCATAGGTTTCAGACCTTACTCAGAAAGAGACGACAGACACTTTGTCTAAGAGGTTTTCTAAACGATGCCGTGACTGTTTGCAATCCAACTTTAAAAAAGGAACAAAAGAAAAAAACAAACCAAGAGTACAGAAAAGCTCAGCTCCACTGTGTGTGGGGGAGGGGGGGATACAGGAAAAGGTGGAGGTTGTGTCTTTGTGGCGAGCACACACACGGCTGCGATGCCCTCTTCCTAAAGTATTTTGGTTCTTCATCTCGTCAGTGAAACCGCCACAGAGCAGCCGACAATACTGGATGTTTTCTTTTGTTGATTCATTTTCTGTCTTTAGTTTGAGCACAAAAAAAAAAAAACACAAGGTCAAACGAGGGTCTTGTAACTAAATGGTAACCTGGCAGGCGGCCTGAAGGGGGGGGGGGGTGATTGGGTTGTTTGAGGGTTTTTCATACCTGAACGCTTTAAAACAGCAGCTTTAAAAAATAATAACAAGACAGCGTTACGCGACCAGGGAGCAGCAGGCAAGGTCGTTGTGAAGAACACGGCCAGAGTTCAAAGCAAACTGAAATAATGATTCTGTTTTCTCCTCGTGTAGCCGGGATTATGATGAACAAAACCCAGTTTTCTGGAACGATCGCGATCCCCTCAGGCGATGGTAACATGAACACGAAGGCGGTCAGCTTGAAATATCGCTCCTCAATGATTCCATCAGAAGCATTGTTTACGTGTAACAGCCATGTCGTCGCTCAGGGGTTCCCAAAGAGGGTCAAGAGACACCCGGAGAGGCAGCACTTCAACTTTTTTTTTTTTTAAACTATACATTTATACTCACACCGGTCTGTCTGTTCAAACAGCTCAAAGAACGCCGACACATCTGAACATAGACTGCATACAAGAAATGGACGTCGCCTCTCGTTATCCAAAGTGAAGCCAACGTTGAAGTGTCTTAAACCTGCATTCTGTCTTATGGCCAGCAGGGGGACTGTATGGACGCCTATGAGCTCCGTAAACATTTACCAAATCAGTTAACGTTCTCGACCACGACTTTCAAGTTCTATTCAACCCGGCGCCATGTTCGTTTAGGAAATAACGTCGTCCCATTCGTAGAAAGAAAGACGATAAAGCCGCGTACGCTTTTGGGTATGGCCGCCTGTCCACTAGGATAGAGGTGGAGCATTTCAAATCAACACTAAAGAGTTTGAAAATGTGATTATTTCTGGCGCGAAAAAAAAAAGAGGTGAAGACCAAAACGCCAAATTTAACGCTTCAAAAACATCGAGTGAAACCAAAGGGCGATGTAACAGCGACTGCAGCAACTTCTGAACATGAGCTGAACCCACAAAAATGGTGAATCAGTGCGAGCTTAAGCAGGCTAACCAGCTTCCACATCCTGAGCTTGAAATCCTTAACTTTTCCTTCTTTTTTAATTTTTAACTCCAGAAGGATCACTAAAATGTCCTTTTTTCTTTATTTGAAAGTTCTGGAAAACAAACGGAAATGAAATAATTTTTAGTTCAGTTTGACTTTAAACCAAAAGCGGGGCTCGTGCTGTTGCTTGTTCTTTTCTTGGTCAGAGCTCAAGTCTAAAAAATGTCGCTGCTGCGCTGCTGAAAAAAAGAAAAAGGAGAGCGAGGCCGTCTGTAGTCGAGGCTCGGGCTGCCGGGTCGGACTTTCCTATCCTAAACCGAGGAGGAGGAACAGAGGGACATTTTTGGCTCCTGAGTTCTTTGTGTGTTTAGGGTTAGCATAGACATCGATAAGAAAATAAAGATTGACAACATTTGCATCAAACCTGCTTTGCAGCTGGGTTTTTTTTTTTTTTTTTTGTAAGGGGTTAACAAGTAAAATGGGGTCAGAGGTCAAAGCAGGGTTCCTGCGCCGGAATCAGAAGATCCAGACTTCGTCCACAAGAGTTTAAAGATTCTTAACCATTATCCAACCGGCTACTTGAAGTATTCTGAGACCTTCAGCGCTGAAGAGCAAGGTAACCTTCCAAAACTTTCCAGACCTGGAAAGGGTCGACTAAGTCGGCGTTGGACCCGCGCAGGAACCCTGAAGTTTCGACCAAACAGGGAACATAAAAACGTGTACAGACCGGGAAACAACCAGCACGCTTCAGGAGTCACTGGAGTCAGTACAAAGCATTTAGGGATTGTTTTTTTTTTCCTTTCATTTGATAACTAAATATCTCACTCTATTGATATAATTCCATTTTGTTAAATTCATATATAAACGTTAACATGTACACACGCTCGTCACTGGGAATCGGTGGAATCGGGAGCTTTATTATAATAAGTCGTGGAACTTTCTCTCGCTGGCGCTTAACAAATATACTGTGAATGCAAGTAACAATAATTAATATAATGATAATTAGAATAATAATAATAATAATAATCGTCCGCACCATGCCTTGTAAACCTGGAAAAACTAAAAACAAAACAAGAGCCAGGTAACCACCCCGCCCCTCCCCCTCCCCCCCCCTCCCCCCCCCCTCCCCTCCGCCCAGTGAAACAAAAACAAAACAAAGGGTTAAAAACAGGGAACTTTTGAGTCTAGATTCTCTCTGGCTTCTTCGAAGTCCGAGTCCACATGCGTCACACAAATCTCCGCCACAGTCCTGAAGTGAGTGGAGGGCGGGGCTCTGAGGGAGGGGGTCGGGGAGGCGGTGCAGGGGTTGACGTGGAGAAGGGGGGGGAAGTGCCTCGCGGAGCCTGGCGTCGGCTGGAGGAGGAGCCCCTCGGCGAGCCTCGAGGAACCTCCGATCCTGTTTTCAGCATCAGCCTGCGTCCGTGTTTGCGTGTAATGTGTGTGTGTGTGTTCTCCTGGTGCGCCAGGTTTACAGGGACCACGTTAAAGCGGTGGTCGCTCGTGGCGGCCACTCGTCCGTTTCCTGTTGTTTTTTTCTTTTCGTTTTTAACAGTTAGCATCCAACCAGGTGTTTTTGTGTCAGTCCTGTAGACCCTGGTTTTGATTCTCCTCTGGTAAACGGGCCGGGTTCGTCCACACGACTTCGGCCCTCGAGGGGGTTTTTCAAGTCGGCTACTCTTGGTTTGGCGTCCCGCTGTCAGTCAAGTCAGAATGAGGCAGACGCCGCCTCAGACGGCTGGAGGCGCGGATTCTTGAGGCCAAACCAAGGCGGAGGCGTAATTTCATACTAATTTCAAAGGGGAGGTGATGGGCGAGTGTGTGTTCTAAATGTATGTGGTGTGTGTGTCGTCTAAAGATCTGCCCAGAAACGACTCCTGATCCTCGGTGGCGTTGGTGCCGATCGGTAAAAGCAGAACAAGAAGCGAGTGAAGAGGTTAACTTCCTACTGGTCGTTATCGTGTGGAGGAGCGCCTCCTCGGCTAATGTAACTAGACTCATGGAGGAGGCGTGGGGAGCCGCTGCTGGACAGGTCCTGTGTGTGTGTGTGTGTGTGTGTGTGTGTGTGTGTGTGTCTTTGTGTGTGTGTGTGTGTGTGTGTGTGTGTGTGTGTGTGTGTGTACACAGGGCTAGTGCAGGTAATCGTCCACAGAGGCGAAGGCGCAGGAGCCGCTGCCAGTTCGTGCCATGATGGCGAGGCACTGGGCGGCCTGACCAACGGCCTGAGCCAGCGGCGGCTGCTTGGGCAGGTTGTGAGTCTCTGAAAGAAGATTACAGGAGGAACAACAGTCAGGGGTGTGATTGGCAAAAGACGGAAAAAGACGTTCTTAAAGTCTTAATATGTGATTTTTCACACTTAAATAGAAATCAAGTATCTGTGAGTCATGACTGTCTACAATGGGTGTAACACCCGAGTCCCACTGTCTGTGATGTTTTCAGAGTCCTATCTTCAGTTTGTTTACATCGCCAGGACGGCCGGCTGACTCCTCCCCTCGTGTATAAAAGTTGTTTAATTGAGGGACTAGAGAAAAGAAGAATAACATACTGTACTCACTGCTTAACTGTGTTTCTAGATCACGCTCATTTCAGGTAAATTTACATGCAGTGTGAAGATACCAGCAGAATAAAGATCGCTAGCATTAGCATGCTAACACAACAATGCAGCGCGAGTTGTTTTGGTTTCATGCTGGTGCTCAAGGGCGACATCTGCTGGATCAAAAAAATCACATAAAGACTTTAAGTTTGAGGTTGTATCTAAAATATTGTTTATACGAGGAGAACATATGAAAACATGGCGGTTGACCTCCGTTTGTTTGATGTAACGTTTCTTTCACTGTGTCTTTTTTTCCCCTTGATGATTGCATTCAGAAATGTCAATAAAATACAAAAAAAAACACTCAGCAGACGTACCTAATATTGCACTATTGAGAGTGGAGCAGACAGGCTCTCTCTGAATGGCGTCCAGCTGGTAGCCGACCGGGCTGTTCCAGGGGTCTGAGTAGGCCAGCAGGCTGAACGCATCCTGCAGCAGAGACACACAAACAACACTTCAATGTCTCCTCCACACGGGTTCTTATACAGAGGATGAAATGCCAAACAGAAACACATTGCAGAAGGAGCAGTCTTAGAGCGTCATCTCCACAAAATGACCATGCAGACACATTAGCTGAAGTGCGTGTCAGTGCTAACGTTAACTTTTCCCACGCCCCCCTTCGGACACTCAGATGCTGTTCATGTCGAGCTTTGTGGATTTGAATCAACTTGATCTGTTTCACCTTGAGCATCTTCTTGTTGGCGGAGTTCTTGCCACACTCGCGGCGGAGGTGTTCGCTCATGCTCTGGAGCTCCCTGCCGAAATGGATCATTCTCTCGATGGCTGCCTGGCTCCCGCCGCACAGCTGCCTTTTGGACTGAGCCGACTCCACCTCTGCAGAGCCGGGTAAAAAAAAAAAGCATGTTTGAAAAACAAGGTAAATATGAGGGTGCATCGACAGCACAGGCATTAAAGGGGACATATAATAAAAATATATAATTACAGTGTTTTTGAACATATATCTGGGTAACCTGAGAGTCTACTGACCCACAACATGTGAAATAAATCCATCCAGTCCTTTGTTTGTGGTCTGCATAAGTCTTACAACACAGAGGAAAATGCTCAGTTTCTAATGTGCTCTCCTTGTGATGTCACAGTGGGATTCTGGTATAAAGAAAAATCCCCTCCCCTCCCCTGGTATCTCCACCCATGGACTCCACCCCCAGCCTAGAGCAAAACTTTAGCGCATGTCCGCCATTTTTATTCTCTCTACAGAGGAGTGATGTCTACCTGGAAAACTCAGGGGGGGGTCATTACATTTAAAGAGACACACACACCAAAACGGAGCGTTCTGAGAGCTGGTTTATACAGGGTCACAAACCTCCTCTGCTGCTTGATTCATGTTATATTTTGACCAAAGCACAGCACAGATGTTTCATTTAGACCACAGGGGGACTGTTTGAAAAGGTGGAGGAGGAGGGATAATGTGTCATCTTTAAGGTGGAGCATCTTTCTTTCCGAGAGGGGAAAAGGCAACAGACTTAGTTTCCCTTGAGTGGTTTGGATCTTGATAACAAGTAAGTCACTAGACCGTCCACACACAAACACAGACTCTACCCACCCATGTCCGCGTCACAGTCTTCCGGCTCGGTGGCGTGTTTGGAGCTGCCGTTGAGGAAACCATTGGAGGATGATTCTGTCACTCCGTTGGTGAAGTGGTCGACCTCCATATCCACATCGCTACTGAGACGAGACATGAGGACAGACACACACACACATCCAGTGGTTTTCATTATTTTGGAGGAGATTGTTTCCTTAATTTGATAGGACAGTGGAGAGAGTGGGGAACGACATGCGGGAAAGGAGCCACAGGTCGGACTTGAACCCGGGCCGCCCACTTGGAGGAGGCCAAGGAGTATACCTGCTTCCAAAAGGAAGCTTACACTCATAAATTGATGTGGGGTGATTCGACCTGAGAATCAGATCTCAGGAACCGTTAAAACTTCATGATTGAATTATCTCAGTACCTGGTGATGGGCTGCTGGCTGCGGCTCCCGTTGAGGCTGATGTCCGACGCTGGGAGGGTGGAGCCAGAGCTCGGGGGGCAGGGCTTGTGACTGTGAGGGGAGGAGCTGTGGCTCTTATTAGATGTCACGCCGTTACAGCAGTTGCTGTCGAACCCTAAAAACAAAAAGAAAGACGGACACTTTCTAAAAAAAGTTTTAAAAGAAATTAACCAATATTAGGTGCTCACAACTTGTATTTTTGTTGCCAAGGTAATGAGTCTTTGACACAGTTTCATTTGCAACTGAGGCCTCGACAACATGTAGGCGGGTATTTCTGAAAACGCTCCTTCAGTAAAACTACTTCCAGGGTGAAGATGTTCAGAAACTCAGTTTAAGGTGTTTGTGTAAACGGGGAGAACAGAGTTTTGTTCTTGTAGCGTCACGGTGTGCGCCGGGGTCTCCTCCATGTGACGTCATCCTGCGACGCTGTCACTTTAGTTTAAATGAGATCAGTGAGATAGCAGACATAACCAAACTAGCGCTGGTGCTAACGTCGCTAACTGGACTTTTTACATGCTCACACAGTTACTCTCTCACTATGTGGACGAGCAGAGACGCCTGAATGGATAACTTTGTAAATTAAACGGTCGTTGCAGAGGAATGGCGAGTACATTTTCGCATGCTTCTTTCATTGTTGACTTGGCGCGCTCATGACAGGCGTGAGAGAGTATTTTGTGTTTTCATGAGGACTGATAGGTTTTTGAGAAATGAGCGAGTGTGGATGGGATTCTTTTTTTTTTTTTTTTTTTAAACGGAGGATGTGATAAAAATACCCGGATCCGGCCTCAGAAACAGAAGAGACACTGATCTACGTCCTTCAACATGATGTGTCCAGAACTACTCAAAGATAAATGTGGATTCAGTGAAATGTTCCAGACCATAAAAAGGAGTCTTCACTTTTCAAAGCTTGATATGAAGACACTCTTTGCTGAGCAGATACCAGAATGTAAAAAGTTAATTGTTGTTCAAATAGAGCTGTATGTGTACGGGGGGCGGGCTCTGGGTCTCTTCTGATCATCAGATATAAATATGTGTAGGACAGGTTAAAGTAAGGGGGGGGTCACCGTACCTGGGAGGTAGGGCTGGGAGCTGCTGGCTTTGTGGCTGGGGCTGCTGAAGGGCCGGGGGGAGCCGGGGTAACTGTCCTGAGACTTGGGGCTTCGACCGCCCAGACACCTCACCTCACTGTCCGTGCCGTTCACCATCTCTATGAACTGTCTCACCCTGAGGACGCAGGGGAGGGAGGGGGGAAGGGAGGAATAAGGAAAGGGAAGAGGGTCGAAGGAAAACAGTGACGGCAACGAAGGAAGAGAAAGAAGAAGAGGAAGGAAGGAAGGAATAAAGGAAAGATTCAAAGACAAAATGAAAGAGGAGAAAGGAGATTGAACAAGAAAATACAAATATTAGATCAAATGGAATATAAAGCATGAAGGGAAACAATCAACATTTTCCCAAAGGTGTCCTGTCACTAAAATTAAAGCGTAAATTTGCTTTTGGTTAACCGTTTGGACGCCCTTTTGTCTGAAGCAAAAGTAAAACAATATAAAATACAAAGTTAACCAGCGAAGCTCCTTTCAAACGTAAAAGGAGGAACGATGTCTTAAAACATCTTAAGTTACTATCACAAAACATCCGCTAAATGAAGCCAAACATCCCATAGAAGGAAGGCGAGCAGGTGTTCATGTGAGTACACGCACGTGATAAAGAGTCTCAGACGTGGTCTTACTTGAGCATGAAGAGGAGGTCAGGGTTCCTCTCCAGGAGGTTGGGGTACAGCTGCTGGGTGGTCTCGATGGCCTCGCCCATTCTGCCCGACAACACCAGCTTCTGGATCTCTGCAAAGCGACAGTTCTGTTAAAGACGATGCTAACCTCGCCGCTTTCACGATAGTATGGCGCGTTAAAGCCCTTGAGGTTTTGTTGAAATTGTATTTATCATCAATGAAACGGAAAAAGACATATTAGACTTTTAACATTTCCCAAATTTTGTAAAAAATATTTTTTCCTCATGTTGTCAGTGTGTGAAACCTTTAGGGGAGCTTTGCATGATTTGCAGCTCAGATACTGGCGTCTGTAAAAACCCTCATTTCAGCTGCTGTCTCTTTAAGGGCCGCCTCCAAACAAGCCCACTCTCCTCGATTGGCCAGCTCTGTGTCCAGTCGCAGGGACATTGAAGTGCACTTCGGGGTGTCCTTGAAGAGCTGCCATGGTCCTAAAACTTTACTCTAACACGTCGGCAGAACCTGACGTCAGGTTTTGTAAAACCCGACTTGGCTCCTTCATTTTTTTTTTCTTTGCGTGGTTGAAGCATCTCTTTAGAAACATGCCAACACAGAAGGACTCACTCTGTCTGTTTTTGATGGAGGCCAGCTCCTCGTGCACGGCCTGGTCTGTGGATTTGGCGAAGGCTTCGGCCGTGGCGCAATAGCTATGATGCACCAGGTAGGAAGCCACCATCCTGATGAGACAAGAGACACACTCCGGGTTAGCTGCAGGTCTGTCTTAAAAAATTTAGATTTTTGGTATAAAAAATGGTTTACTTCACATTTTTAAAAGCCTTTTATTTCCCCATCGGACACATAACCAGCAGCGCTGTAGCCTAGTTTTTCTAGAAATGATCGATTATGTTCTGTCCCTGCATCGCTGCAGAATCCTAACCCGTCATTTCAACATCCCTCTCATTTGAAACTCTTTCTTGGCTGTGACTGACGACATTCGAGGCTCTTGCTGCAGACAGCCTCTAGTGGACACTCGATGAACTGCAGGATTTAGCACTTCCGCATGTGGGTCATTTTTCAAACACCGGAGGTTGCCGCTTGCTACAAACCAACAAAAGATAAGATCCAATTAGTGATAAACCTAAACTCGTAAGTGAACGCGTCAGACAACTGTCTGGAGACAGCGTGAGCGGGTGTTGGACTTCGGGATGGGAGGTTGTCCTCCTCCCTGATCACACATCCAGTTCTAAATAAAATAGCTTCCCGTGATGCTGGCCGCCGTGTTCGCAGGGAGATTTAAGATCAGAGGCTTCCGCTCTTGCAGACCATCGTGTCACTGCTGCCCTATAAAAAGACAATAATTCCCCCCCCCCCCCCCATCAATCGGACGTGAGCTTAGAAACTTCCTTTTCAATCCCGGGGAGTGAGGCGACTTTTCCTGGATAAAGGCGGCGGCTCCCTCCACTCCACCCACCCTCAACCCCAATCCGCATCAAATGGAGATTAAATCCATT